ACACCCCGCACCCCCGTCCAGGGCAAAAGAATTCCTTGCCTTGGATGCGGGGACACGGATTACCGGCCGGCGGGGGCGGGCGTTTCTGCCCGGCTGGCGGGCGCCGCGCGCCGCGGCCGGGAGGGGAAGTACAGGGCGTTCCGGCCGGCGGAGGGCGGGGCGGTCTGGTCGGCGCCCTCCGGGGAGGGGGGGGAGCCCGGAAAGTCCCTGGGCGCCTGCCAGGAACACTCAGCTCATAATAACCTCGCGGAAAACACCGCGGCCTCGGCCTCCAGAAACCCCGGCCTTGCGCAATCCCCCGCAGCCCGCGCCTCCCTGGCCCCACGCATTGTACTCACCCTGGGGTTTTTCCCTCTCCCCTCAGGTTCCTGCACTTGGCCATCATCCATGAAGAGAGGGCGCTGACGATGGAAGTGGTCCGCCAAGTGAAGGGAGACCTGGCCTTTCTTAACTTCCAGAACAACCTGCAGCAGGTGCGCCTCTTGCCCGCCCCAGCCCCTCTGACCCGGGGATTGGGCACAGCACTCCTAGTCCTCTCCAGCGGTTCTCAACCTGTGGGTCGCAACCCCTGAAAATACATCCTGCATATCAGATATTTACATGACGATTCATAACAGTAGCAAAATTGCAGTTATGAAGTAGCAACGAAAATAATTTTATGGTTGGGGGTCACCACAACATGAGGAACTGTATTAAAGGGTCTTGGCATTAGGAAGGTTGAGAACCACTGGAAGTCAGTGGTCATTATTCGACCTGACCTTTTACATTCCAATCTGCCAACATTCAAGTAAATTCCATTAATTTGGTGAGACCTTTATGAAGACCACTGGGGGGCCTCTGGTATTTGCCTTGCCCCTTGCACCTGGGGTGGGGGGGTGCAGCACCCACAGGCTGGGGAATCTCTGGGGTTCAAGGGAACTCAGACTGTGGGGTTGATCCATAATTTATCCTCTCTGTTCCCTCTTCTGTTTGTAGACTCCGCTCCACTTGGCTGTGATCACCAACCAGCCAGAAATCGCCCAGGCACTTCTGGAAGCTGGCTGTGATCCTGAGCTGCGAGACTTTCGAGGAAATACCCCCCTACACCTTGCCTGTGAGCAGGGCAGCCTGGCCAGTGTGGGAGTCCTGACTCAGAGCTGTGGGACCCAGCACCTCCAGGCCATCCTGCAGGCCACCAACTACAATGGTACGTCTGCCCGCCCTGCCCACCAGAAGGCGGGTGACCAGGAGAAGGGGGAGGTGGGCCAACTTAAGGATTCCAGGCAAGAGCTTAAACTCTCAGCATGGGAAAGGCTGAGAAAATATGTATACAAAAGGCCTGTTGGATGCCTTTATAAAATTCATTCAGAAACCAGATTCTTGAGAAGAATTTGTCCCTTTAAAGAGTAGGTGAAAGATTCTGCTTGAGATGTGAGGGGTGAAACGAGTGTTTATATTGTCTTCCTTTTGTTCTTCTAGGCCACACATGTCTGCACTTAGCCTCCATCCATGGCTACCTGGGCATCGTGGAGCGTTTGGTGTCCTTGGGCGCTGATGTCAATGCCCAGGTGAGTGCATCATGCCTCCCAATGGAGTGCGTGCATGGGGCGCAGGGCCCTTCTCACTAAGATTTCATGTGCTTTTTCACAAGCGAAAATTCTAAACTCAGCTGTTAATATCTCATTCCTTTTGGTTTCAGGAGCCCTGTAATGGCCGAACGGCCCTTCATCTTGCAGTGGATCTGCAGAATCCCGACCTGGTGTCTCTCCTGCTGAAGTGTGGGGCTGACGTCAACAGAGTCACCTACCAGGGCTACTCCCCGTACCAGCTCACCTGGGGCCGCCCAAGCACCCGGATACAGCAGCAGCTGGGCCAGCTGACCCTCGAAAACCTTCAGATGCTGCCAGAGAGTGAGGATGAGGAGAGCTATGACACGGAGTCGGAGTTCACAGAGGATGAGGTGAGTCTCAACTATGCTCTGCAAAAAACAACACACAATTAGAGTGGCCATTCTCCCTCCACCCTCCCAGGCTCCTAGAGCTATACTCTTCATCCAAAGGTGTCACATAATGAAGTTCTCCAACTTTAGTGTATAGTGCAGTGATGGCGAACCTATGACACACATGTCAGAGGTGACACGCGAACTCATTTTTTTGGTAGATTTTTCTTTGTTAAATGGCATTTAAATATATAAAATAAATATCAAAAATATAAATCTTTGTTTTACTATGGTTGCAAATATCAAAAAATTTTTATATGTGACACGGCACCAGAGTTAAATTAGGGTTTTTCAAAATGCTGACACACCGAGCTCAAAAGGTTCGCCATCACTGGTATAGAGCCAGTATCCCAAGAGTATGTCTTTTCTTCTTTGCTTTTAAGGAGAGGAGCATCAAAACAAAACTCCCTCAGCCCGTTCATCTATATTTGGGATATAGAGAATGAAGTCCACAAATACTTAGGTTATTTCCAGTAGCAGCTCTCTCCCCATTACCCCAGCACCCCTGGCAAAGCTCTGGGAGTTTAACATGCCTTATTTCCTCTTGTTTTTAGCTGCCCTACGATGACTGTGTGCTTGGAGGCCAGCGCCTGACGTTATGAGCTTCACAAAGCATCTGAAAGAACATGGACTTGTATATTTGTACAAAAACAGAGTTTTATTTTTCTAAAAAAAAAAAAAAAGAAAGAAAAAAAGAAATCAAAAGGGTGTACTTATAACCACACTGCACACTGCCTGGCCCCAAACATTTGACTGTGGTGGATCAGCCCTCATTTTGTTATTTTTATGAACTTTGGAAGGGAACAAGAAAGATCATTGGATTTCAAAGAAAACCTCTTTTAAAACTCACCATTGCGGGGGTTTTTTGAGAAGGTTATCCAAAATCTGATGAAAGGACTACATTCTATTTATTGTCCTTTTTGAATGAAGCCCAGCCGTGTCCTGTGACTTGTAACAATGAGGTGTGTTGTTAAACCTTTCAGTGGTGTGGGGTTAAAAGTTGCTACCTGTCAAGGTTTGTGTTAACCCTCCTGTAAATGGTGTAAATGCTGTATTTTGTTGGTAATTATTTTGCTATTTCTAAGATGTATATTTATTAAACAGATGTTTACAAACAGAGTTACCCTGATTGTTTTCTTCGGGCTGCCCCCGGGACTCCTATTCTGAGAGTCATTCAGTCCTCAGGTGGAGGTGGAGAGATGTGTGGGAGCACTCACCACAGCCAGCCATGGAACCCTTTCAGAGAGCAGCTTCTCACAGTTACGCACCAGCTTTGCAGGCAGCCCTGGGCCCGCTGTGTGTGGGAGGGGATGCTGTTGCAAGATTGCAAGATGATAGGAGATAGGCTTGGGGGATGGGGGGCACGCTGCTTGGCTTACAGCTGGAAGGCTCTCCATTGTCATTTACTTTTATCCTCTTGGTTTAAATTATTCCAGGACCCTTCCTTCCACTTTAGGAAATTATTTTGGCCAAGAGGCGTATGCTGAACTGTCATTTTCTAGAGCTGGAAAAGACCTCACCTGTAGTACTGGAAGTTCCTAAGGACCTGGGCTCAGGAATGAGACGGCACTAACATTTGTTAACAGGTGCCCACCTCTGAGCCTTTGTTTCCGCATTTATAAACTGGGCTGCTGTGTAGCTTACACAAGACAATCCACATAAAAAGCACAGCAGAGTGCCAGGCACATAGTGCTAAATCAAAGTACAACCGTTGTATTTCACATGGGAAGAAACCAGTCCAGAGAGAAGATCTTCTCCAGGGTCACCCTGCAGGGGCACAGGTGGTTAACTTAAATACATCTTGTTTTCAGGTAGTTAACATCTTTTCAACACATTCCACTTCTAAGCCTATTTTTTACCAGCTGTAGTATAAAAGTGGTAATAAAGGCTTGAAAATCCAATCAGCTCAATTGGTCTACTAGTTCAGAATGATTCTACAGAGGCAGATGTCACAAGAAATCAATAACTTGTGAAATTTGGGTTGAGATGCTCTGAATCTCAATGTTTTCATCCCTAAAATGCATGTCTTGCCTTGGTAGAAAAAGGAGTAAAGGAAAGTTTTTGGCATAATATAAGGTGCAGAACAGTGTATACATACAATTCATGGGCTTTGGCTTACACCTCAGAAAGCATTACCATTATGTCTTTCCTGATCCACAAATGATGTCAAACTCAAGTGAATATGATGATCACCTTCCTCTCAGACCAAAAATGAGCCAATACTTAGAGGGTCTTTCATATATAAAGAGTATTATTGTAGCCCAGCAGGAGTGGCTCAGTGGTTAAGCATCAGCCTGTGAAACAGGAGGTCACAGTTCGATTCCCAGTCAGAGCACATGCCTGGGTTGTGGGCTCAAACCCCAGTACAGAATATGTAGGAGGCAGCCGATCAATGGTCCTCTCATCATTAATGTTTCTATCTCTCTCTCCCTCTGAAATCAATAACAATATATATTTTTTTAAAAAGCATTATTGTAGACTGTACTGACTGGTCAAAGCAGCCTTAGTCATCTGGAGCTGAGCACTGTGGTGATCCCTCTACCAGTCTTGACTTCTTTCAAAATGCTCCAAGCCCATCACTGATATTCCTCGTTCATCCCAGAGCACCTGAACACAAGTGTCCTATGATGTAACACATGAATGTCGATTAGGTTCAGCTGATAAGTAGAAGCAGCAGGAGGGGAAGGAGGAGGGATAGCCAAAACAACAAAGGTTGGCCCTACTAGACTGTTTGGCTTAGTGGGTAGAGTGTCAGCCTGCAGACTGAAGGGTCCCGTTTTTTATTCCATTTGAGGGCACCTGACCAGGTTGTGGGCTCCATCCCCAGTAGCGGGTGTGTAGGAGGCAGCTAATCAATGATTCTCTCTCATCATTGATGTTTCTATCTCTCCCTTTCTCTTCCTCCCTGAAATCAATAAAAAATCTCTCTCTCTCTCTCTCTCTCTCTCTCTCTCTCTCTCTCTCTCTCTCTCCATATATATATATATATGGCGGTAATATGCAAATTAGCCAGCAACGTTTAAAAAAAACACACAAGAGAGCAAAGGCTTGAAATTTGACTCCCAGTTTTAGAACCATGTCCTTAGTGCTTCTCAGTCACATGGGCCTCTTTTTCCCCCTGTAATGGTGTTGAATCTGTGCTGAGTTGCCCATCACCCTCACTTCAATTCTGTGCTACAGGGTTGGAGATGCAGTCCACTCTTTCTTGGCCTCCTTGGTGATCAGCTTTTGTGTAGAGGTGTTATCTTCCATGGACACGGCAAAAAGGGACCTCTTCCCATCCAACCCACTGGGCCCAGCATCTCACCGTTCTAGGCTTCAGTTTTCTGCCTTCAGAACCCCAACCCTCAGGGGGATTTCATCATCTGAATAAATCTCAAGGTAGCTGGAAAAAAAAAAAAAGGTAGTTGGGCCCAGGTAAGCACTGAAGTGAGCCCCAGTTTCTTACTCTTCAATCCTTCTTGACTGTCTACTCCTTTCTTTTAATTTTTAAATCCACTTCCTTTCCTTCATGCCATTGGCTGGGTGGCTGGAGCCTGCAGTTTCCTAAAGAAAAAAATTTTGACCTGAAACATTCTAACCTGTAAAAAGTTTTCCTCCAATTTCTAAGCAAACAAGAACAACAGTTTTCAAAGAAAATAGTTCACAGACTGAGATCCTTTTCTGCACTTTGGTTTTCTCCAAGAAGTTAAAGGTCCTGTTAGGACCGGTAGAAATAAGGAGGCCTTGGGAAAAGGGAAGTGACACAAGGGGGAAATAAAAAGTCAGGTCAAAAAAAAAAAAAAGTCAGGTCAAGCAACTTCCTTGAACTTAGTTCCTTGATTCCTTCTGCCTGCCTCAACCTCAGGAAAAATTTCCTTTATAGGTCACATGAACCAAGTCACTTCCAGAAGCATTTTTCTTTCAAGAGGGAACAAACTCCATTTGAACAATTTGAAGACCTCCATGCAGGGCCTGGAAAAGCAGGCTGTGGATGCTCAGGGGTATATGCATCAAAGTCCAATCGCTATTGGAAGTGATTAAGTGTGACAATTAGAACTGAGTCAAGTGAGATGGGTCTCCCTTCGCCTCCTTTCCTCCCAATTTTCATCAACTTGCCTTGGGTATAGCTGAGTTTCATTTGGCAAGAAGGGTCAGCCCAACAAGCATTCTCCAACCCCTGGTACTGCTACAGGAGTGTCCCAGGCCGTTTCCCCATTTTAAGAGACCATTACAGAAACTGAAACTGGATATCCTGTGTGTGTTTCCCTCCTAGAGAAGTAGACTCTGTTTCACTCACTCATTTGCATTATAAGGCCCTATTATTCTCCAGGCCCAGTGCAGGGCTAGAGACACAAAAGGGAACCAGTCATGGCCTCTGCCTCACAAAGCTCCTTGCTTAGGTGGACTGGGAGACAAACCAGCATATATAAAACAGGATGGGGGATGGAGATCAAGAGATTATACCCTAGCCGGCCAACTTGGCTCAGTGGTTGAGCATCGACCTATGAACCAGGGGGTCACAGTTTGATTCCGGTCAGGGCACATGCCTGGGTTGTGGGCTCAATCCCCAGTGTGGGAGGCAGCCAATCAATGATTCTCTCTCATCATTGATGTTTCTATCTCTCTCTTCCTCTCTGAAATCAATTAATTTTTTTTTTAAGAGATTACACCCTAGTTAGCTATTTGCTTCCCAGGCCAGTACTATCTATTCTCTCATCCCATTAAGGGCACCAGATGTTAGACCTCGGTCCTTGAGTTCTGGCTAAAAAAGAATTCAGATCCAAGACTCAAATACACTCAAAAGTTTATTTAGAAAGTCACAGAGGTAGAAGAAGGGAGCCAGCTAGACTGTGTAGACTGAGGAAACAAGTTACAGAGGCTAAAGAAGGACCTCTGGAGCTTAGGAGAAAGAAAGGCAAAGAATATGCACGTGGGGGAAGGATAGGGGGAAAGGAGCAGGGGTGTGTGTGTGTGTGTGGAGAGAGAGAGAGAGAGAGAGAGAGAGAGAGAGAGAGAGAGAGAGTCTTTGTGTTGAGTACTTGTCTTCTGCTTGTCTTCAGGGGTGTTACCTGGAGGTCCCAAGGGAGGATTCTAGTAGAATATTCATCAGCTTTCCAGGTCTCTACTGATTGGTTGGCGCCAGCCAGGGGGTCATTAGTCATTGCAGCTGGTTCTGATCAAGGTATCATCGCCTGTCACCAGGCTGGCCTTGCTCTGCTCTGGGCCTGGAGCTGAAACACAACTGAGGCCTAGATGTTATCTCTATGGCTAATGCTTAAAGGAGTGGGCGTGCAAGGGCTTGTATGGGAACATATATGAGGCTATTCTCTGGCCCCCTTCTTCTTCCTCTAAGGAGTCTACCACATGCCAGGGGAGGAAAGGTCAGGGAGGATCCGAACCATATGACCAGTGATAGGAAAGGTCATAAAGTCTAAGCCACTTGACCAGAGATATGCTAAGAGAGGGGATAGAGATCAAGAGATTACAGGTCACCATTGCCCCCAGCAAGGTGCCACCCTACAATACTCGTCCTCCCAGTTTTACCCATTGCTAGGCGCCTGGGCTTTCTGCTCTGGTGATCGTCTGTGCCTGGCCTATCATTCCTACTCTGCTCAGGCCTGTCCAACTGCCTACTATATCAATCCCATGTCCTAAGTAGGCAGTGGCACCCTTTTGACATGTGGCTGGAAACAAAGCTGTGCTCAGAACTAATTTCCAGGCTGAGATTAAATCAATCCAGCAGGCTACCTGTTCATTTTTGTATGTGTGTGGTCCTAGATTGTAGAGCTGAGCCCCAAAGCAATTTATCACTAGTGTTTGATTTAATGATAAGTAATGTGCTTGCCTCAGTCCAGAGCTATTCGAACTCAATATGCACTCAAATGGCCTGGAGGTTTTGTTGAAACAGAGGCTCTGACCCTGGCCGGTTTGGCTCAGTGGATAGAGCATTGGCCTGCCGACTGAAGGGTCCCGGGTTCGATTCCAGTCAAGGGCACATGCCCGGATTTCGGGCTTGATCCCCAGTAGGGGCATGCAGGAAGCAGTGATCAATGATTCTCTCTCATCATTGATGTTTCTATCTCGTCCTCTCTGAAATCAATAAAAATATATTTAGAAAACAACAACAACAAAAAAAC